TTAAACTCGATGCGCTCTGAAACTGCGGGGCGGCCGAGGACAAAAAATACACATGCGCTAATCGCGTTAAAATAATTAGTGGCGTTATTTTTTTTTTGTGTTAGCGCGTTATTAACTCGTTAACTTGACAGCCCTAATTTTAACCTTTATTAGAATTATGACGTTTTTATTACTATTCATTTGTATTTGTATTTCTGTTGTAACTATATGTTCACTTTATTTTATAGGGTTTTATATTGTTGAATCTATTCACTTGTCTTGTGTCTTATTTTTCCGAGAGAAATCATAATTTAATTTTCAAAATCCTTCTCCTCTGGGCTGCATGTGTGACGTGTGCAGCATGTGTAGTGTGGTGTCTCTGTGTGAGACCCGTTAGTTTAACTTGTTCATTGTTAGGAGATGTGCTTACTGTGGGGTAAGGTGAGGCACAGATGAGCTCTGCCTCACCTCAGAATGAGTCACCCCACAGAAACTGGCTGGAAAGCGGGCACTAAGCGCATGCCTGTTACCATCTCACTGTAGGTCACCAATGTAATGTTTGTAGATCCCTTTATTACATTTATCCTCGCCATCCATTGTCTCTAAATAACTTATTTCATGTATATATTATATTTAGGCTCGCTGGTCTCATCATGCAACGGCAATGAAAAAAGCACCAGGGGAGGCAGCCTTAACCTCTGCAGCACTGAAGGGGGCGCACGTGAGCCCACAGGTTCTTGTTGCTACTGTAATTCTACGCAGAGACGGTAGACGCAAACAACTAGACTTTTGAAACTACAGGAAGATAAGGAGGACTTTTACAAACAAGTAATAGAGATTGTTGTCCAGAAGGATACCATGGACTTCATCTTTAAGTCAAGGTAAGACCACATTTGTAATGAAAATGGTATCTTACTAAGAAAGAACAATCCAATATTTAGATTTTGGGTATCCTTTTGTTGAACGGTCTGTTTAAAATGAATCGAAGCATCAGACTAAAAAAGCTTTTGAAAATAACCGAATATTTCGATTAAGGTCAAAATATAATATTTGTAAATCTGACTCAGTGAGTCAGTGCCTCACCAGCCATGAACCTCACCGCACGTCACTGCCTTTTACCTCCTTGTGTATCTTAACCTAACATTTTATATTTAGCTGCATGTACTGTATCTGTAAAGGTCTTAACATCTGAGGGGACTTTCTTGTAGTTTATTGAACTATGAAGAAATGTTTTACAATGCCATTTTTCAACCATGGTTTTCTTATAGACTTTTCATTCCATATATAAAATATTATATATCCAGGGTTAAACTGCTAGCCTCGTTAAGCTGCATTGAAGGAAATTAGTTTCACTGTTCATTAATCTGCAGAGTAGTTTCTCCAATAATCTGTTTGGTTGATAAAATGTTGTGACTTTAAACTTCTATTGTGATGTTTTTGATAGTTCCTGTTGAGTTAGTAGTCTGTTCTGGGTTGCAGTCGAATTGTCCAAAAATCAGCTCCTATCGTCTTTTCCTATCCACTATTCCTTGACCTCTGTGTGAAACGACACGGGGTTAATGCCTTTACTTATGTTTACCGACTGTTAAAAATCTGTTTTTATTAAAAAGTACAGGCTGCATATGTGTTCTCAGCCTTGGAGAAACTTGACATGTTTTGGTATGTGTCTGAACCTGTCTTCAGTGGTTCATTAATAAAACAGATATTTTGACATGTGCCTACTTTGTTCATGTGCTGTTGAGGTTAATTTCAGTGTGTGTTATAATGTATTTACAAAGTGTGAAGAGGAAGCAACTTTAAAATAGGGAACATATTCTTAGATAAAAATACCTAATTAGAGTCAAACTACTAGCTTATTGGTTATGAACAAGACTTCACTTTAAAATAGGGAACATATTCTTAGATATAAATACCTCATTTTGAGTTATTTAGACACAATGAACACTTTTAGCTTCATGTCTTGTTACATAAGAATAGCTCATATTTGTTAAGTGTTATCATGGGAGGATTACTATTCTTGTGGTACTGCCTTATTAGGCCCATATTGAGCAGAGCATATTAAGACCGAAACTCATGAACAACAACTTCCTTACTTGCAATAAATAAGCACTAATTAGAGGGTTATTGGAAAAACTCTCAACTAATGGCTTATTACTTGTAGAATATGGTCATGTAAAATAAGGCATTATTAAGTGTTTTATAATGACTAAGAGCCAATATACTGATAATATGCATGTTAATTAAAAACTAGTTGATGGTGAGTTTGTGTACCTTAAAAGGGGACCTATCATGCAAAATGCACTTTTGTACGTCTTTTATACATGAATATGTGTCCCCGGTGTTCCAGGGAACTCACCAAGTGTCATAAAACACAACCCTCTCTATTTTCCTCCATACCCAAATCTCTAAAAACGGGGCTGCAACGGATCTGATACAGATTTGAACATTTCTCTGACGTCAGGACGGAGGAGCTCCGCCTATATCGCCAACTCTCCACCTATCAGGGGAATGAGAGGTTGCCGTGGCATGGTAACATGACGCTCGTAACTCGTCCCCTCCTTTGCAGGGGGGCGTGGTCAGCTGCAGCGCATGCAAAGACAGGGGTGGAGGAGAGCAAAATAGAGCGAAATGAGGCATGGCTAAAATGCATGATCTGTTTGGTATTTTGAAAAAGAAAACGTATAAATATACCTTATATAGGTATGGCCCTACAATATATTATTCAAATATAGCATGATAGGTCCACTTTAATATAAAGTGTTACCAATATTTTACATATGGAATAACAAGGCTATTAGGAAACCATGGTTGAAACACAGCATAGTAAAACATTTCTTCATAGTTCAGGAACCATTACAAACATGAATTAAATTGGAGAAACAGCATCTCTGTGGCCTTGTGTTGGCATAGTGTGAACGCTGGTTAGAACATACAAAACTGTTGAAATAATAAAGCTTTATTGATACAGCACTTTTCATACAGCACGTGCAGCTCAAAGTGTTTTACAAAATGGCGACACATCACAAGTTAAAAATAAACAACAAGAAAGTCCCTTCAGATGTTAAGACCTTTACAGATACATGCAGCAAAATATAACATAAGCCGCTTTCACACCAAGTACTTTGCCGTACTTAGTGTCCTGGCACTTAATACCCCAGGGCACTAAGTACCAATCGCGTTCACACCGGAGTACTTTTCCCTGAGGGAAGATTACGCAAATGAGCCGCTGACGTCAATTCGTCTTCTTCTGCTTTGGGTTTACTGGCAGGCCGCAAACAACTTCACGGTGTATACTGCCACCCGGAGTCCCCGGCCGGAAGTCCTCGGAGTTGGGGACTGGCTTCAGTAGAAGCTGCTGGGAGTCCCAGCTGCTTCTACTGAAGCCTTCCGAGTAAATCGCCAGAACGCCGACACCTCCTCATCTCCATCGCTCCCATGTTTTATTTTGTGTTGCCATAAGTTAGTCTCTCTCCGTTGGTGCGCGGGGCTAATGCTAATGCTAATAATGCTAATGCCAGTAAATACAATGGCGGCTTCAAAAAACTTTTCAGAGTTTTACGGGGCGTGGTTTGCAATTCGCCCAGCCAATATAAATTGGTACTTTGTTGGTACCACCTCTCTAGCAGGTAAAAGTTCCCGGCACTTATGCGGCTTTCACACCAGCGCTTTTCCCTTTCTAGCTCCGAGCTAGAGCTTTTCTGGTTCAGCTCCGGTTTCCCTTTTCTGCTCCCGCTCTGTTCACACCGCCCAGAGCTGTCGCTGCTGCGTCATGACGTCACAGTTCACATTGCTGATTTTCTCCCCAACGGAGCTCACAACAACAACAACAACGGGGGACTGCGTCGGGTCGATGATCGTGTTGCTCTTAATCATACGAAGCCAGATTAAATTAAATAACGACTTCTCCAACCTTATACTTTTCTCCAGAGTGCCGTGGTTCATTGTTTATTAATGTGTTTCAGCGGCATTTACCGACCGCTGCAGTGCTGGCTGCTCTTCCACGGGAGTTTATTCTCCCGTTAGATCCGGGTTAGCTCACACGGCTCTAAAGTATTCACTGCCTGACTGAACACACTGTGAATGTGTGTCAGTCTGAATTGACGCTGTTTGGCATCACAACGCTGTTATGAAAGTTTCTCTGGTATAACATGGGTGATGTTAGCATAGCAACCGAAGCTAAACTGACTACTTGCTAAGCCGTTTTCTACAGGCACATTTTACCGGCGTATTTTTCATTATGATTCTACTTGTGATAGTCGGACATGACAACCTGTGCAGCCCATGTATTGATTCCATCCGATAGCTGCTATAATAACAAACACAAGTCTGCCTGCTCTCAACAATGATCAATAACAGCGAACGGATGGTCAAAGTAAGGTACAAATAAACAGAATCACACGAAGCCTGGTTAGTGTTGCCTGACTTTATAAAGTGTGTTTTTTTTTTATAAGTGTGTGGTTGCCTTCTAGTCACTTTGCTCAGCGCTACTGCTTGTAGGCAGGCATGACGAGACTCTTCAGTCGACCCATGTTCAGGGGAGGTGGGTTTAGTTTCCTGCACGCCTCGACGTAAGAGAGACGTAAGCGACGCCGCCTCTTATCTCCGAAGCTCTTGCTTCTAGACCGACAATTTTTTGGAGCTGGAAGTGAAGCGGATTCCGGAGCTAAGAGGTGGCGCCGCTGCGGTGTGAACAGGAAAAAACGGTACTTTTCAGGCTCTAGCTCCGAGCCGGCGCTGAAAACGCGTTGGTGTGAAAGGGGCATGAGTACTCTTTTTGGTGTGAACGCGACATAAGGGGTACTAACGGAACTAAACGGGAAAAGTACTCCGGTGTGAACGCGCCTGTTGTAACAGGTTAAGATACACAAGGAGGTAAAAGGTATGATAATAACAAATTAAATACAGTAAAAAAAACTATGATTTCTCTCAGAAAGATAAGACACAAGAAAAGTGAATAGATGCAACAATATAAAACCCTATAAAATAAACATATAGGTACAACAGAAATACAAATACAAATGAATAGTAATAAAAACATCATAATTCTAATAAAGTTTAAACGATTACAATATAAAGAAACCAACGTAAAAATAAATGTTATCAAAACTGTTAAATGACTAATATAAGATAAAAACCCTTCCTATATCATAAATGAAACAATATAAAAGTAGGTAAATAATAAAGACTAAACAACCATTTAAAGTGGGGGGTTGCTAATAAAAAGCTAATCTAAAGAGATGTTTCTTTAGAAGGTGTTTAAAAATGTCCACTGAGCCTCTCTGATATTTCCTGGTGTTCCACAGTTTGGGAGTGTAGTGGAGAAAAGCCTCACCCATTTTATTTTGGGGGATTTTAGGGATATTTAAAAAGCTGAGGAGGACCTCAGGGCTTGTCCAGGGACATCAAACAAGACTGACTGTGAATTGAAGTCTGTTAGTCAGACTTCAATTCAGAAAGACTCTTAAAATATAACTACAGCTCTCAGGACATCAGGAGGAGGAAACAGCTAGCTTGGCTCTCATAGTTGTTCAAAACTATGCAGGATGGATTCGCTGAATACTTTGAGAAAACGTTTTCCCACACTCTTAAAACCACTATGGTTTCTCTCCAGTGTGAACATGTTGATGTGTTTCGAGATTACTTGATTGAGTGAACGTTTTCCCACACTCTTCACACCAGTACGGTTTTTCTCCAGTATGAATACGATGATGTTTTTTGAGAGCACTTGATGTATTGAACGTTTTCCCACACTCTTCACACCAGTACGGTTTTTCTCCAGTGTGAATATGTTGATGTGTTTTGAGATTACTTGATGTAGTGAACGTTTTCCCACACTCTTCACACCAGTACGGTTTTTCTCCAGTGTGAATACGTTGATGTGATTTGAGAGCATCTGATCTATTGAACGTTTCCCCACACTCTTCACAGCTGTACGGTTTTTCTCCAGTGTGAATACGTTGATGTGATTTGAGAGCATCTGATCTATTGAACGTTTCCCCACACTCTTCACAGCTGTACGGTTTTTCTCCAGTGTGAATACGTTGATGTGTTTTGAGATGATGTAATCTCTTGAATGTTGTCCCACACTCTTTACAGCTGTACGGTTTCTCTCCAGTGTGAATACGTTGATGTGTTTTGAGATGATGTGATCTAGTGAATGTTGTCCCACACTCTTCACAGCTGTATGGTTTCTCTTCAGTGTGAATACGCAGGTGGCTCTTTAAAGCTCTAGATGATGTAAAGGATTTGTCACATTGCTGACAGCTGTGACGTCTCTCTCTTCCTTTCGGTTTCTAAAACAGACGGACAGAGAATGAGAGAAAGTAAATCGAAAAAGCATAAATACATATAGACTTAACACAATAAAAACTTGCTTAATATAAACCTTGAGTTAAAGGTGGGGTAGGTAAGTTTGAGAAACCGGCTCGAGATCGCTAGAATTTGAAAATACACAACCGGAGAAAATCTGCCACTTCCTTATAGAGCCCCTCCTCCAACACACACGAACGCGCACATGACCAATGAGGGCACGAGATAAGTTTGTGCACAGATGGAAGGCTGACAGGCAGGTAGGCCATCCAGTTATTTTAGCCGGGCCGGCGTACTTTTTACAGCTTCCACAGATATATTATTATTATTATTATTATTATTATTATTATATTATATTATTATGGATTTTTTTTCAAAGCACTTCAGATATTCATTGCTATCGGGATGTTAAGAGCATTCCATGGAATATAACAAAAAGTGTATCTCGAGCCGGTTTCTCAAACTTACATACCCCACCTTTAACAAAATACTTATTTTACTAATATAACTGTGTTTAATATATTTGTATTATATTTGATGCAGTAATACAGCAACATTCTAACCAAAGTAAACACAGCAACGTTCTTTATTGGGAATGAGATGTCTGTAAATATTTTAACTAAATAAACTACCCAGTAATAAAACTAAATAGCCCTTATTTGAATCATTAGGTTTTAAAAGTTGTAAAATGCGCTAAAAGCTGAATCCAGATGTATTTTCTCTCTCCTTTCATTCTACTGAGCTGAGTGAGGGAGATTGGAGGCGGGGCTTAATGGAAAACTCAACTGGCATGCTCTATGCTCTCGACAGCAAGGCATGATGGGTAATTTGTGACGTTTTGCTCTTGAGAATGTCAGGCCATTTTGACTTCATGCGCCAATGAGCGGCTCTCATAACAATGAACGAGGCCTCCGACCACAGTGATGCAGGAACATCTCAAACGTAAACCACCCGATCAAGATCCCCTCCGCCTCGCGTCCGTCCCTCTGATCATACTGTCGGGGTTTCTTTTTCCAATAATGACCGGCTCGCTGCACATTATCCGGTATATTACACGGCCAAATGCTAAACAAACTGACGACTAACTTGACTTATTTTAACTTATTTAAACTATGCCAATTTATTGATTCAGCTACTCACGCATGCGCAGTTCGTACGTGCTCGGCTGAAGTCTTTGCAATAAAATATTTGCATTGTACGAAGCCCCTAAAGGGCAATGAAAGAAAGGAGTGAGAGACTGGGGGTGTTTCTCAATCGCGAGTAAAGCTGCTTCAGAGCCACTATTTCAAGCATACTACGTCATTGAGTGCCGCCGAAGTACTGTTCCAATCTCCAGCATACTTGGAAATCTACCGAGCCCGGCGTACTCCGTTTGGAGAAATATCGAGGCTGCACATGAGTAGACTCCGCGGTCTTAAAATCCCCACAATGCTTTGCGCACGGACCAATTTCCCCAAATCTGTGGCGGAAGATGTAAGGCGGGGCCTCTCATATGACGCACACCTGCACACTTGCTAGCCTGTTCCACTCTTTGTTTTCCGAATGCCAGGAAGTATTCTTGACTCGCTTCTGAAGCAAGATGCTCGGCAGACATGTGCTACCAAGCAAGCGTACTCGCGATTGAGAAACACCCAGTAACTTGTTCGCAGGAGAAAGTTACCGGTGCGCCAAGTAGGAAGTGGAGCGCACAGGAGAAGGACGTTTCATTGCAGACTGTTATGTTTATGTGGGGAAATGGCAGTGCATACATTACTTTAGATATATTTAGAACTCTGACTTCTTTTTAGGGACATTTGGCTCTCGCTCTCATTCCTCTGGGCACATTCTCCGTGCCAGCCTCGGGGGACCTGTTGCTGGCTTCGCTCATTTATTTGTTTAAATTAGGGATGTCCAGATCCGATCACGTGATTTTCACGTGATCGGGGATCGGGAGAAAAAAATCGGGGATCGGAGTTTTTTCTTTTTTTTTTTACAAAATATTTGTATAAATTTTATTTAATGTTACAAAACAAAAATGACCATGTTCACGTCTTAAAGTCATCCTGAGGCCTTAGTTTTGGGTTAAAATTACACAACATCATGTATGTGTTGCTTCTTTTGGGCTTGTTTTCATAGACCTGGTTGCTTATTTCTCTCAAATCTGGCAACAGAGTGGGCGCAGTGTCTAATAGTAGCAGTAAGCTAACAAGAGGCTACGTTCAGCTGGTGACTCGGGAGTCGGGACAGAGAAAATGTCAGGAGTTTGGAAGTATTATAAAATTGAAAGCGAAGGCAGTGTAACAGCCAGATGCAATGTTTGCAAGGCGGAGGTTCCGCGTGGTGGAAAGAACAGAGCTACGTTCAACATGACCAATCTAATACAAAGACCACCAACAACAACACGACGAGTACACAGCGGCCACTCAGGTAACGGCACTGAAACAACCGACACTTTCAGAGACTTTTAAAAGGAAAGAGAAACTGCCCCAGAACAGTGAAAAGGCCAAAAAAATAACAGCCAAGATAGCTGAATTCATCGCGTTGGATGACCAGCCGTTATCTGTGGTGGAGAACGTGGGGACAATTTAAGGGACTTGAATGCTTTTCTCCTTTTTTTTCTCTTAATGTATTGCATAAAGATCGGATCGGGAAAAATCGGTATCGGCAGATTGTCAAAATTAAATGATCGGAATCGGATCGGGAGCAAAAAAAGGTGATCGGGACATCCCTAGTTTAAATTATTGTTATATTGTCGCACCTCGTCTCGGTTCTCCGGTTTTTGTTATAGCCCCAGAGCCGGGCCGTACCTCCTTCACTTCATGAAATCTCTGCAGCACCAGGAGGCAGTAACGTGTAACTCAGCAGAATCTGAGAAGAGTTGGCGACAATCTACAATGCCTGAATCTCTCTTTGAGGTACCCGGATTCACCCTTGTTCGAGCAGACAGCGATGCGAACTCGGGGAAAACCAGAGGAGGCGTTATTTGTGTGTATATTAATGATCTGTGGTGCCGATCATACTCAGTAAATGTAAAATCTGCAATCCGAACGTAGAAATTCTTGGCATGACGTTAAGACCCTTTCATCCTCTAATCTGCCTAGAGAATTCGGGTGTATTTTACTGTTTGTTGTTTACGTGCCTCCCAGCGACAGAGCGTCAATGGCGGCCGGCTCCATCGCTGCCCGTGTTCACGAGCTGCAACTCAGCCGCCCCGATGCACCGGCAATAGTGCTCGGGGACATGAAGCAATGTCGCCTGGAGACTGTGTTACCTTGGTTCCAACAGTATGTTAGGGATCACACTAGGGCTGTACCCGAATATCCGTTCGTTGGAGATTCACTGCTTCCTGCTTCTTACAGTGCAGACGTTTTTCTGCTTGCTCTTGCCTCTGCTTACTTTTTGATGCTGATTTTCCTATTTTTCTTTTCTGATAACTTAGCTCCTGGACATTAACTTTTCACTGGGACAGTTATTCTTCGTAAATAGATGAAGGGTTTCAGCCATATTTCAATATTTTTACGACGACCTCACTCCTACAGTAGCGTGGCCTAGCAACAGCTAAAGCCTGGTACTGCATGCTATTTAGCTAGTTAGCAGCAAAATGCCTCCGCTCTCTACAGGTGACTTCCACAACCTTCTACAGAAGATGGCAAGTGTTGGCAATGAAAATGCAACTGTTGAAGCTAACGTGGAAGTGAATAGACTAGGTTGGAATGACACCACTTTACCAGTGCAAAAAGAATGGAAAAAGGGCATGCTAACTTACAGCTAGCTAGCAGCTACAAGGATTCCAAGGAACAGCAGGGCTGTGTACCGGGTAATAAATCTACAAGTGGTAGTCCTCCCTCGAACTCTCTGGGTGCAAGGCCGAAGAGTAAATCATTTCCATGGGATTTGGGAGAACGAATAACAGGCAGAGCCCAGCGCTCTGAAATCTGTAATGCGACCCGGCTGGCCTGCATTGTTATCACCCAGGAAGAGTGGCCTCTTCAACCCCTATTCATACTAGGAAGCAGCCGTGGACAGCTGCTAAAGGGAGAACTACAAACAATCCTCCTAAACCACCAAGTGTGCCAATCCAGAACAGATACGCTCCACTGACACAGAACCGGAGATCTCTTTCTGATGAGCTGGATAACCTGTCCTCTTCACACAGCAGGGTAAGGACCAATAGCTACTCCAAAAGTAAAAGGCTAGAGGGAAAGCTAACGACTAGGCCTGAAACTCTGATTGTGGGTGACTCTGCTGTAAGAGATGTAAAATGCATTCACTACTACTTACTTTAATATCTAACTCCTTCAGCCTACTTCAGCTGCACAAAAACCATTCCACTATTAACTTACTCAGCTATTTCAGGACATTGAGGCTATACATGTTGTTTATACCTTTTTAAAACCTTTTCTTTAAGTATTAAGCTTCTTCACTATTTTCCTACTCTTCCAGTTTAAGTCATTGCAATGCATTTGAGCTGTACAATTTGATTCAAATCATTTCACTTTCTGTTTCTGTATTCTCCGCTAAATTTAGCAACACACTTAACTTGGTTTTTGTAGCTAAAGCACAAAAAGGTTCATAGCAGAGGTGAGAAGTAACTAAGTACATTTACTCAAGAACTGTACTTAAGTACTATTTAGAGGTAACTTTTACTTTACTTGAGTATTTCTATTTAATGCTACTTGTACTTTTAGAACAGTTCAGAGGTAAATGGTGTACTTTTACTCCACTCCATGTATTAATACCTTTAGTTACTTTACAGATGTGGATGTGTGATGTGAAATATAATCAAGTGTTAAATCAGACTTTAGTTCCACCTGGAGTAAATTCACAAGCTACCCTGCAGTATACAAAGTCATTCAAACTAGCTGCACCTTTACCAGCTTTGAGAACACTTTAATGATCAATCAAGACAACTCAATACAACCGACAGACACAACAAAACAAATGTACAGCTACTACGTAGGTTCATAGCAGAGGTGAGAAGTAACTAAGTACATTTACTCAAGACTTAAGATTCCAGTCTATGAGAATCTTAGGTTATATACGTGTTAGAGCCAGTAATTTTGTTTTCACAAGAAAGGGCCACCTAATTGTGACGTCTGTAGTCAACACACTATAAAAGACTACAATTCCCACAGCGCCTGCTCTAACTTGTCATCTACTAATATCTCCCAGTAACTTGGACCAGTGTGTATTTATTGAATCACCTTTGTTGTACAGCCTGTGCTGAAACACTGTTTTATATGCATGCTTTTATAACTGTTTAAAAAACAGTTTTAAAAATACGTGTATTTATACTATATTGATACTGTTTTCATACCGTTTTAACACTGTTTGAATACAGTTTTTAATACTATATTAATACTGTTTTTATACTGTTTTTACCCCTGGCAGAGAGCAGCTAGCTCGCATCAGCTCCGGTAGCTCCAGTTAGCTCCCGATAGCTCTTGTTAGCTCCCGGTGCTAACTCCACCTGAACAAAGGGTTGTTTTAACGGGATCCTGCCATGCCGGTGTCTCCCCCCGGGTGTCCCGGTGTCTCCCCCTGTGTCCCAGTGTCTCCTGAGGCCGCTAAACCCTCCCGGTTCTCCGTAAATCCTCCGAGCTGCCGAGGGGCCATGATGTCTGAGTGTGTTGTGAACTGCCGTAAAGACACTAGTACTGTTGCAAAAATGTGATTGGCAGGAGTACACTTAGTGACCGCCAGAGGAGCCAATACCTTATCAATAATAATTAATAACAATTGATTACATTTTATAGCGCCTTTCAAGGGACCAAAGGCCACTTTACATGCTGTCACAAACAAACAAAACAAAACAAGCAATGAGTATTAACACGTTAACGTTATTGATCCCACATTGGGAATTATTTAGTGTGCCACAGCATTCCACTATAGTACTTCAATTTCTTTATTAGTGCGAATGCTGTGCCACTGCATTCCACTATAGTACTTCAATTTCTTTAGTAGTGCGAATGCTGTGCCACAGCATTCCACTATAGTACTTCAATTCTTATTCTTCCCCTTATTTCACCAATACTTTGGCTCTCCATAACTGCAGCTTACTTTCAGCTACAGGAAACCATTCAAATATCAAACTATTCAGCCTGTTCAGGAATCGATGGGAAACCTTCAACTTTTTAAAAATATGTTATACTTTTTGAAATATTCAGCTTTTTAAACTCTTTTTTTAACATTGAAGTCAATGGGAGATGCCTTCAAATCCTCTTTTCCTACACTTTGCGCCAAATGCTACTCCTTCCACATACTTTCAGCTAGACACTTCATTCCAACTTTCAAATGATCACAACACCTTCAGCGATAAAACTTGTTATTCAGATTCTTCATATCTTTACACTTCTTGCCGATATTTAACTTAGTTTGGAGCTTGGTAAAGAGGCTTTTCTTCAGATTTTAACATTAGTGTGGATGGAGCAGCTCGTTAAGTCTAGAGTGCTTGATCTCAAAACAGAGTGGAGAGTGCTTGAAATTCTCCCCAAAAAAAATGTTTTAAAAAACCTGCCATAATTCCCAAACCCTACACTCCTCAGACATATTTTTTCATGAAAAACTGTAGGAAAACCTCTCCTAGGTTGGAAAATAAAAAAAAATTAAGAAAAAAATATTAAACAAAATGCCTCTTGAGGGCATGAAGTGACAAAAACGTTCAAACATGTCTCCATTAAGCCCATTGTAATTTCAGGCAGATATTTCCTCACAGCAGCAAGGCCGCACACCTTTCTTAATACTGCCAAAAAGGCCACATTTCAGATACTCAACTTCCTTGACATGCTTCCACGTTTTGAAATTCACGATATCTGGTTGATCGTTCTTCCACAAAACGTTCACATGTAAGAGGTTCATCTCTCATTCAGAACAATGAAACCTTTGAAGTCTAGGCACCTCGTTAGCTCCATGATCAACACTGTGTTATGGAACGCGATGATGTCATCACTGCAACTGACAGCAGTTCTCTCTCTCTCTCTCTCTCTCTCTCTCTCTCTCTCTCTCTCTCTCTCTCTCTCTCTCACACACTCTCTCTCT